TTGGTTATTTGTTCTTTTTTTTCGTAATTGGAGGAACTATTTGGAGTTCCTAATATATTCTGGATATCAGCCCTTTCTCAGAAGTAGTTTACAAATATTTTCTCCCACCGTGTAGGTTGTCTCTTCACTCTGTATTTCCTTTGCTGTGCAGGAACTTTTTAGTCTGATGTAATCCCATTTGTCTATTTTTGCTTTGTTTCCTTGTTCTTAGGGTCTTCTCCAAACAACATTTCCCCATTCCAATGTCTTAAAACATTTCTTCTGTTTTTTTTTTTCTCTAATAGTCTTACACTTATCTTTAATCTACCATAAGTTGATACTTGGGATATGGTGAGAAATAGGTGTCTAGTTTCATTCATCTGCATGTGGAAATCCAATTTTCCTAACACCAGGTTTTGAACAAACTCTTTCTCCAACATGTTTGTTCTTTGCACTTTTGTTAAAGTCATTTGACAGAAGACACATTTCTCCTAGGCTCTCCATTCTATTCTGTTGGTGTGGGTGTCTGCATTTATACCAAACCATACTGTTTTTTTGTTGTTGTTGGTAGTGGTGGTGGTACTAAGTTTTTAACTCAGAGCTTTACACCTGTAGGTGTTCTACTGCTTGAGCCACATCTTCAGCTTCCATACTGTTTTTTTTCTTTTAATTGTTAGTATGACTACAGATTTATAGTACATTTTAAAATCAGGTAGAGTAATGCTTCGTGCTTTGTTCTTGTTACTCGAGATGGCTTTGGCTATTTTGGGGAATTTTGTGGTTCCATATGAATGTTAAAATCTTTTTATCTAGTTCTTTGAAGAGTCTCACTGGTATTTTGATAGAAATTGCACTGAAACTGTAGATTTGTCTATTATTGACATTTTAACAGTATTAAATCCCCCAATCCATGAACATGGGATATCTTTGCATTTTGTGTGTCCTCTTCAGTTTCTTTCGTGAATATTTTGTATTTTTCATTTTAGAGATCTTTCACCTATTTGGTTAAATTTATCCTCAGTATTTTTGCAGCTATTGTAAATGGAATTGCTTTTGTTGAATTCTATGTTAGATAATTTGATATTGACATTTAGCAATGCTACTGATTTTTGTAGGTATTTTGTGTCTTACAACTGTGCTGAATTCATACATTAGTTCTAAAAGGATTTTTAGTGGCATCTTTGGGGTTTATAGGTATGTAAGATCATGTCATGTGCAAACAGTGATGGTTTGACTTCTTTTCCAATTTGGATGCCCTTTATTTCTTTCTCTTGACTGATTGCTGTGGCTAGGACTTCCAGTGCTAATGTTTAATCAAATGTGGTGAAAGTGGGCATCCTTGTCTTGTCTCAGACCCCAAAGAGAAAGCTTCAGCTTTCCCCATCCAGTAGAGTGTTAGTTATTGGCTGGTTTTAAATGGCCTTCATTATGTTGAGGTAAATACTTTCTATAATTTGTCCAGTGTTTTTTGCAGCTATTGAGATGATCATGTGGTCGGTCTTTCTGTTAATGTGGTATATCACATTTATTGATGTGCATATGGTGAACCAACCTTTTATCCTACCAATGAGTCCCACTTGATCATGGTGAGTAATCTTGTTAGTATACTGTTTGGTTTGTTTTGATATTATTTTGTGGAAGATTTTTGCACCTACAATCATCAAGAATATTGGCCTATAGTATTCTTTCTTTGTTGTGTCCTTATCTGGTTTTGGTATCAAGGTAATGCTGGCTTGGTAGACTGTGTTTGGAAAAATTCCTTCCTCTTCTATTTTAGTGATAACTTAAAAAAATTGCTATCAGTTCTTCTTTAAGTGTTTGGTGGAACTCAGCAGTGATGCTGGCTGTTTCAGGCCTTTCTTTGATAGGAGGTTTATTTTTGGTTTTGTTTTTTCTTCAGCAGTACTGGGGTTTGAACTCAGGGCCTCACGCTTGCTAGGCAGATGCTTTACCATTTGAGGCATGCCTTGAACCCTTTTTTGCTCCAGTTAATTTTCAGATAAAGTCTCATGTGCTTTTACCCAAGACCAGCCTCAAACTATAATCCTCCAACCTATGTCACCTGTGTAGTTGAGATTACAGAGGCACCCTATATCTGGCTTGTTGGTTGAGATGGGGTCTTATTAACTTTTTGCCTAGGCTGGCCTCAAATCACAATCCTCCTGATCCCACTTCCTTTCTACCTCCTGAGTAGCTGAGGTTACAGGCATGTACCACCTTGCCCAGCTGATGGGGGATTTTTTATTACTGATTTAGTCTCATTACTTGTTACTGGCCTGTTCTGGTTTTCTATTCCTTCCTGAATCAATATTGGTAAAAGTCTGTGCCTAGGGATTTGTCAATTTCTTGTATGTTACCATATTTGTTGGCATGGAATTGTTCATAAAAAAATCTTTAATGACCTTTGTATTTCTATGGTGTCAGTTGCAATGTCTTGTTTTGAATACCTGCTCTCATTTGAGTCTTCTTTCTCTTTAGCTTGTGGTTCATCTATTTTGCTTATGTTTTCAAAGAATTAGCTGTTTGTTGAGTTTTTCAGTCTCTACTTCATTTGTGTCTGCTCTGATATTTGTTGTTTCTTTCTATTAACTTTGAATTTGGATTGTTCTTTGTTTTGCATTTCCTGGAGATGTAGCAAGATGTTGTTTATCTTCAGTTTTTGGATGTAGGTATTGATTGCTATAAACTTTCCTCTTAATATTGTTTTTGCTGTTTCTCATAGGTTATTATTTCAAGAATTCTTAAACTTTCCCTATGTATTTGTTTTCAAAGTTTTCTTGTTATCTAGTTTTACTTTTATTGCATTGTGGTCAGAAAAGATATTATGTCTCTCTCTCACTCCTTCTCTAATCTGGGTCATGCCTGAATCTCACAGCCATAGGCACCTGCACAGTTGCAAGGGTCATGCCACAGCTGGCAGTGACTTGAGTCCATCCCCCCTGGCACAGGTGTCTGCCCAGTGTTGGGGAATTCTAAGGCTCCATCTGAGAGCACTGACCTGGTGACAGCTGTGGTCTGCAGTTGGGGGACAGGTGGTGGAAAGAGACGGGTGGCTGATGCCAACTGGGTTACACCTGAGTCTCAGGGCTGCAGGGATGCACCTGCAGTCTCAGGGAAGGAGGGGTAGGTGGGATTGGGGGTGGGGGGGGATTAGCAGGAACACTCTGAGGCTGGCAATGATTCTAAACTCGAGTCTGTCCCACTGGTGCCTGATGGTGACGCCAGGGCAGGGACACAGGCCTGCGTACATGGTCTTTGGTTTCTCCAGTCCTGGGTATCACTCCAGCAGGTGGAGTATTGCTGCCTGCTGTGTCCCTGAGGTAGGGGGAGAAGGGGACAGTGGCAGGGGCAGTCAGTGGCCTGGGCTAAGATACAGTGTTGGCTTGGCAGTAAGGGTCATGAGACTGCTGGGCACCACCATGATGTACTGGTACTCAGTTTCCGTGTTAGCGAAGGACTTGAATTTTCTGGCTTCTCTGCTTTAATTTCAACCTCTAGCAACACAGCACAAACTCTGTCCCCCTTATCCCAGTCCTAGCATGTGCAGAGCCCAGAGATCAGCAAAGTTGCTGGAGTTGAGCTCCCGGCTCTCATCTCTCCAGGGAATTCTGCTTTCCTAATCCTTCCTGAATTCTTGATGACTGACACTGAAAAGAAGTGATAACAGCAGGTTCGGGGGAAGTGGAGAACACCTGAGCCAATGATGTGGGACCTTCAGGGGAGCGTGCTATATGCCTTACTTACAGGATGCCCTCCTCCGAGTTTTGACATGTTTACTGATCATGTCATTCTTCGTCTTAAATTCAGAGAATGCCTGTCAATAAAGATTTAGATTATGGGACTGATTGAGTAACCTCTTTTAGATGGCTCATAGCACCTTGGTTTTTCCTAATCTTTTCCTGTAGAGGTGTGATTATATGGTTATTTAATGTTTGTCTCCTTCCCTAGGATGTAAGCTCAATGACAAGCAGAAATCATGAGGGAAGGGATTGTAGCACCATGTTTGGTGCACAGAAGATGCAGTAGGTGTTATTTATTTGTTCTTTTTTGGAGTTAGGGTCTTGCTATATATAGCACAGACTGGCCTACAGAACTCATAATCCCTCTGCCTCTGCCCCCCAAGTGCTGGGATTACAGTTGTGTACCACCATGCTCAGCTCAAAGTTTAATATTTGAATGTGCAATAAATACAAACAATGGAATATTAAGCAATCATTAAAAATATGATAATGTGGAACTGTTTATTGACATAATATAATTATACCCATAATATAATGATAAATTTTAAAAAAATCAAATTATAAAATAGTATATATTTTATAAAAAGAAAAGCTTTGTATACAGATTCAGACATCAAAATGTTAACAGCGATAAGATCATGTGTCATATTTTATTTTGTTTGTAACTCTCCATGCTATCTGATTTTCTCTCTTTCTCTTTCTGTTTGATGGTACTGGGGTTCAAACTCAGGACCTCATGCTTGCTAGGCAAGCGCTCTACCACTAGAACCACACCTCCAGCTCCCCACACCCTTTTATCGAGGTAGAACCATGTGGCCCAGGCCAGCCACAAACTCATGATCCTCCTACCACAGCCTCCCAAACACTGGGATTATAGATATGTACCACAACACCCAGTTCTAAGTGTTCCAAATAATATTATTTACTTGATTTATTATTTTGATTTAAAAATTATTCCAATTTTGAAAAATATCAAGTAGACATAAAGCAATCGTTTTGTTTTGGTCATAAAACTCCACTTGAACAACTAATTTTGGCATACAGTATTTAACTGAACAAACAAACTAGATTTCTGAGTTCTAAACAAAAATATTGGATTAGCTTCATCTTGATGCTATTACTAATTAAAGTGGACTTTAACAAAATAATCATCATTATTTATTTACTTTTTGGCAGCACTAGGGTTTGAACTCAGTGCTTCACACTTGCTAGGCAGTTGCTCTACCACTTGAGCCACTCCACTAGTCTTGTTTGGTGTTGGGTATTTTTGAGATAGGGTCTCCTGAACTATTTGCCTGGGCTGGCCTAGAACCATGATCCTCTGATCTCTGAGGAGCTAGGGCAATAGGCGTGAGTCACTGGTGCCTGGCACTGTTTTATCTTTATGCCCATGGCTTCCCATGACAACTTTCTCCTCTCCCTCGTGTTCCTACTCGAGGTATGGAGAAGGAACAGCCTGCACTTCCCGTTCTCACTCCTCTTTTAGCTGACGATCAAGAAAATTAAAAGGTACTGAGCTTCTGAATATTAAAAAAAAATGTCAGTGGCTGGTAGATTTAAAGTTTCTTCCTCACATGAAGTGAGTTTGCAAAGATAGAGTTTTTCCCAACAAAATGCCAAAGCATTACCAAAATTCTAAAAGTACATCCATCAGAGACCATGAAACCTGACTGGTTATAAAACCATAACTAAAATCAGGTTATAATTTTCCCTTTTAAAAGATGTTAATTTACATAAATAGATACCCTCTACTCAAAGCAAGAGTAGACGCCTGGATATCTTAAAAGGTAAAGATAATTGCACTTGTTTTTTAATATATGACAGTTAGCATGATTGTAGGGAAATGGAAAGTAGTTTTGAATATAAACTCCTTTTTCTAAGTATAACTTAAAACTTTAAGAATTAGTTAAAAAATAAAAAAAGAAACAGGGCAAATACTGTATGTGTATGACTACTTGTCTTTTGGTAACAGTAATTTTGTTTTCTTGCCAGTTTCAACCCATTGATACAAAGACCTCAGCACCATATGAAGAAGCCACACCCTGACCTACAAAACGTGAAAGCCTCTGGAGAACCATCACACCCTTATTCATTTCTCAGCAAAAAGTCTAACAGACTAGTGCCAAGTATTGTGCCTTAGAGCCCTAACTATGTAACACAAATCATTTACATTACAAATTGTGACAAAGGACAATGTGCTGGCGCGGCAGCTTTTCATACCCTCTGGAAGCTTGAAAAGTTCAAGGATATCTTGCTAATCTTCATTTTAGATCTAGCAGCATAAAAGCTGGGTTTTCTAAGTAGGACTTCCACAGATTAGAGAAGCGTGACATGGTGGCTCCATCAATAATCCTGTGATCAGCTGACCAGCTCACATTCATTATCTGTGCTTTGTACACGTCTCCTTTCTGGTTAAATCGGGGAAGAGCCTAGAAATAAGAAGAATAAACAAACAAACAAGGAATCAACTTTCACTTGCTCAAAGTGCAGGCTGTGGTGACAATGGTGTGACATCAGATAAACCCTGCACCCTGAGACAGACAGGAAGAGGGCATTCCCACGACACTCACTCCTACTTTCCCAGCTTCAGGCGAGCAAGCTTTAAGCTTTCAGCTTCTCCAGGGCATCTCCTGTCCTGTACACAGCTCCCATGCTTACCTCAGATGCCATCTCAGAGTCCAAATATTTAACAACTATTTAATGAGCACCAGCTACACGCCAAGTACTCTTATAGGCTCTAGGGAGACACAGATAACTGAGACAAATAGATTTTAAGGTTCTTCACTGAGGGCTTGAGGAACAAGCCAAGGGCGTGGGGATACATGCAGAGGAGATGGCGGGGAAGTATGACCACAATGGTGGAGGAACCACCGAGCAGACAGGGTGGCTCCAGAGAAGGGCAGGGGCAAGGGTGAGAGATGTGGTCACAGCCAGAGCTGGTTATGGGGCATGTCATCAAAGGCAGTGCTTCTCAATCTACCTTTGATAAAGGACTCTTTAAACAAACATTTCTAATCCATGGTGAGCTAGTTTTAAATACATTAGGACTGTAGTTCAGTGGTTGTTACTTTCCTAGCATGTGCAAGGCCTGGGGTCTTGATCCCCAGCACCACTCACACACACACACACACACACACACACACACACACACACAGTATTAAGCAAATAAAAAATGCACAAAATGTCAGCCCCGACTTGTTCTTATTCAATTCGGTAGACAAAATTACAGCAGCTACAGTCCATGGGCCCTACACACTTTGGAGTACTATTAGTGTGTGGTCGTGTCAGACACTGCAACTGCCTTGCCTTTGATTCTGATATGAGAAGCCCCTGGATGTGTGTCAGCTGAATGGCCATCCACTGAAAGGAGAAGTCTCCCGAGGAGCAGATTGGAGGGTGGGGGCTGGTGGAAAGGAGAGGAATTCGATTTTGGTTTTGGACCTCTTAAGATTTTCAGATGCCTGTCAGACATCCATGCAGGATATATGAGTTTGGAGTTGAAGGTGAGTTCCAGACCTGGAGGTGTAAAATTGGGAGTCATCAATGTATAAATGATATTTAAAGACACCAAGATTGGATCCGATAATGAAATGGGTGAGAACTGAGTCCTGGGTTATTCCAATACTAAAGAGACTGGGGCAATGGTGGGGTACAGAAAAGGAAACTCAGAGAGAGATAGGAGGAAAGCCAGTACAGCCAGACATTGTGCAAGTCAAAGTGAAGAAAGTGTTCCAAGAAGGTGAGATTAATCATCTATCTTGTGTAGCCAACAGGTCAAGGAAGGAAGGAAGAAAGGAAGGACTAAGAGTTAAGAACCCAAGAGGTTGTAGTGCCTTAGACAGTGAAAACAAAATAGCAAAAAGGAGACACCAAACAGAAGGAGGAAGGAATTAAGTAATATTTGTCCTTATCCAACAAAAATTACATTTAAGTCATGATCTAGATTAATCTAACTATACTTCATATCTTGAGGAAATCATGGGCAAATGATTCTTTAAAGATATGCCTGTTAAATAGATATTTGTGCACCAATGTTCATGCAGCATTAGTCACAACAGCCAAAAAACTGTAAACAACCCAAAAACTCATTGACAGATGGATAAACAAAACGTGGCATGTACACACAACAGGATATTATTCAGTCTTAAAAACAAATGAAATTGATACAAGCTGCAACATAAGCTTTGAAAAGATCCCAAGTGAAATAAGTTATACACAAAAAGACTAATACTGCGTGATTCCACCTACATGAAGTACCAGAACAGTCAAACTCAGAGACAGACAGAAGAGTGCTTACCAGGGGTTGGGGGGAGGGAGTGAGGAATCACTGATCAGTGGGGCAGAATTGCATGCAGGAGAGTGGTGACAGCTGCACAGTATAGTGGATGGACTTAATACACTTAAGGTATTAAGCGTCGATGATTAAGATGGTAAATTTAATGTTGCATATATATTTGTATATATAAAAACCACAATTACATATGTGTGTGTCTAAATTTAGAAGAAAATAGCATTAAGGAAAAACAAAACTTTGTCAGACAGGTATGATGATTTGCAGACTGTAGAAAGCCAAAATTTTTGAGACTCAGATGTTGAATTCTTGTTGGGAAGAGAATGAGTAATGGAGAAATCATTGCTCACAGAAACGCCAGAGTTGGACAGAACAGTGTCATGTTGTGTGTTTGTTTCTCTCTCCCTAACTTCTCTGTGTGCCAGAAGGTAAAGCGATGTTGAGAAGGGTGTGTAACAGAGCAGCTAGAATCCAGTCAGAGGCTGAAGGGAAGTGTCTGTGGAGGTCTTGGATGCTACATGAAGTAAGAAACTCATGAAAGGCAAGTCCCAGGCATGGTCAAGGTATAAGTATACAGAAGAAAGGTTTTTCTGAAAATGTGAAGAGCAAAATCAAGGTTAATGTAGTGACAGTGATGTTAAGTCATGGTGGTATTAAAGAGGTATCCATGGGTTTCTCAACCCTGAGTGAATAAGAATGCCCAAGACCATCCCCTCAAATTCTGCTCAGTTGCTTTGGGGCCAGTGTGGCATAATTGTTCAAGTCCCCAGATGGTTCAGATGCACAGCCATTGTGAGGAATGTTGCAGCCCTGCTCTAAGCCAGTCTCCTCATACATACAATAACTTTATTGGAACCACTGGGTTCTTGTTCAAAATACAAGACCGAGCAATCTTCATTCTTAACTAGTTCTCCCAGTGATCCTTGAGTACAACTAAAGATTAGAAAAATGCTCTAAATGGTACTTTACTTTGTTACAAATGACAATTTGGATTGGCTTGCTATTTATACTTCAGTATTCTGAAATAAAGATACTTTGACAGAAGCAGATTGGCTGTATTTGTGGCTCCATAAAGACTCACATCTGTGCCTGGCATAATTCACAATGGTTGATCCATACAGAAATAACCCAGACCACCACCGTTTATCATACACTGAGGCAGCTGGCAGAGTTGCAGGCCTAGCTCTTAGGAAGAAATAATAGTCTTACGGAGTCAAACTTCACAAACTCAGACTTATACAGAGAGGGGAAAACCATAGAAATGACTAGTCTTTATGTTCAAGTCTCCAGCTGCCTAACTATTTTTCAATTATTTAATACACATACCTGAATTGTTCCAAGGGCCCCAATGGCTACTTCAGGTGGCAGTATAACTGGCTTGGCATAAGTACCACCAATCTTAAAAAAAAGTAGAAAAGCTTTCATGGCACATGTGGCAAATGACACTTTACATTTCTAACCGAGCACATGATTAGAAGTTTAGGTTATGACTTCTGAATCTGAACGTCAGGACTCACTGATCCTATGTTGGAAAGAGTGAATGTTCCTCCAGTGAGGTCAGTGGTGCTGAGCTGCCCAGAAGAGCCCAGTTGCTGGAGGCGGTTCAGTTCAGTGGCAATCTCAAATATAGAGCAGATCTGAACGTTTTTCACATTAGGGACAATCAACCCCTGCTTGGTATCCATTGCAATCCCAATGTTATGAGAAGCCTAAGAAATAAAAAATTGTATAGTAGGCCTTTTAATAAACAAGAAAGAAAGGACAAATTTTCACTATTTTCTAAAACAACCATCACAAACTGTTTTCATCAAGCTTGGCATGCTTGCACTTGGGAGGCTGAGGCGGGAGGACCATGAGTTCCAGGCCAGTTTAGGCAGTAACAAAAACCTATTTTCACCAGAATGGTAAAGATTTAAAAGAAAGAAAACTTTTTAGTAAGCCAGGCATGGTGTTATGCACCTGTCATAGTAGTCAACAGGAGGCAGTAGGTAGAAGGGTCATAGGCCATAGGTCACATTCCAAGGCCAGGGCCAGGAAAAAGTGAGCCACTATCTGAAAAGTAACCTAAAGCAAAAAGGACTGGGACACAAGGCCACCACCAAATCAAAAACAGATTTTTTTTTTTTTAAAAGGTAAGATTTTGCTGTTAAGAATGTAATACACATATTAGTGGTGGGAGTGTAAGCTGGTGTAGATTTTCTGGAGAATACCTGACAACATGTACCAATATTTACAAAAATTTGGACTTAGGAGATAAATGCAGAAGTAGGCAGGAATAAATAGGGATGTTGGGTGCAGATTGTTGGTAGGTTTGAGAAACGACAAAGCATCAAAATACTTGGCAACTGGTTACTGGCTAAATGAATAGCAAAGTTGTACTTATTGACGTATAATCATGTCCATGATATATTAAATGACAAAGAAAAAAGCAAGTTAAAAAGATGTATAATTTCATTCACTTTTTTAAAGTATGCAAAAATGAAAATGGGACCCTATTTCAAAAATAATGAACACAAAAAGGGATGTTGGAATGCCTCAAGTGGTAGAGCACCTGCCTGGCAAGTGTGAGGCCCTGATTCCAACCCTCAGAACTGCAAAAGAAAAAGAATAATAATAATAAAATTATATTTTTGCTTACTGCTTTACCCCATATTTTTAATTCTAGTCTCAAAAAAAGGTTTTTTTTTTTTTTTGGTTGTACTGGGATTTGAACTCAGGGCTTCATACTTGCAAAGAGGTGCTCTACTGCTTGAGCCACACCTCCAGTCCATTTTGCTCTGGTTATTTTGGAGATGGGGGTCTCATGAACTATTTGCCTGAACTGCAATCCTTCCTATCTCAGCCTCCCAAGTAGCTGGAATTACAGGTGAGCCACTGGCACCCTGCTAAAAAAAGATCTCTACTTGAAGTAGATACAAGTCTCTAACCTACAAGCACATTTGCACCATCTTCTATTTGTAACAAACATTTTCACAAAGCATAGCCAACCTTGTACGTTATATTCTGGCAGTTTTCGTCCACAGAAGCATTAAGGATAGGAAACTGTAGCAATCCCAAAGAAGCAGCCTGTTTAACAGAAGAGGATGTGACATTAGCACTTTTGACTCAGAGAAGGCAGGGGATTCGAAGAGGAGGTGAGAGGAAAGGACTCTTACTCATGCTTAGTTTATTCTCAAGACAGTGCCTGCCTCAGCATCTTACTTTCAGTGTAGCCTGCAACCAGTGTGAAGTTAGACTGCCCTCACCATTAAGAACTAGGCGAAATAGTTAGGCAGTGTGTAAACATCAAGAATTTCAAAATAACTGGTGACTGTCAAAATTCCAAAGAAATGTATCAATGCTGAGTGATTTCCTCCCTTACATAAGTAGTCTTAAGATTTCCATACGAAGCAAACCAGGGTTCAAAAATACGCCAGGAATTAAAACACACATCATAAGATTACTTTAGCTAGGCCAGGTTCAGGAAGTAGATCAATGGAAGGAAAATAGAATGAAAAAATTTGATGCAAATTCTTTAATTATATATAATTCAGTAAGCATGCCAGTTGTTACCAGTAACCCTAATCTTTTCCACAGGTAAGGTTATGGTAAGGTTGTTCTAAAGTGTCTTGAGTATAACCAAAAGTTTATAAAAGAAAATACAGATCTGTGTCCAGGGATTAAGTCATTTTCCCCCTGTACGATACTTCATAGTATTTTTAAAATATTCTAAAATGTTCATGGTAATTTTTTAATTTAAAAAAATTTGATTTTCAAAATGCAGATTGGGTATTTCAGACTGTAACAATGAAGGAAAACAGCAATAAAAGATTCCGTATACTAAAGCAGGTCCATTCTTTCTTCAAGAGCCTTGCTGTCACCAGGAGGTAGTAAGATGAGTGGGGCAAGGCACACCGGCAGGGCTCGCTCACTCGCTCGCTCTCAAGGTTACCTTCTGAGACCTTGGGGTCTCCATCTTCCCCTAAACCGCACTACCATTTTAACCTTTCGGTTCTCCAGCTAGTTCCCTCAGCCTCACCTTTTCCGTGCACAGGTGCAGGAGGTATGTCCTGCAGACAAAAGCCAACTGAGCTTCACTCTGCCCCACTGCCTTTCTCCAGCTTTTCTGAGTGTCAGCTCTTCCTCAATTTCTCTTCGTTCCCCAGCCAACTGCAATAGGCCTCTGCTCAACAGTACCTTACTCAATCCGGTCTGGCAAGGCCACACAAGACCTTAAAGTACAATGGCCTTTGGTTATCCCTTTGCTACTTAACCTTTGTGACACACATGGCCACCATCTCCTCTTGAACCGCTTTCCCTCTCACTAGGTGTGGAGGTCAAATTAACAGCCCACCCTTTCATGCCACCCTCTACTCATGCCCCTTGGTACTGATGTCTCCAGGGCGGAACTTAGTCATGTGACTTGCTTCGGTCAACAGGACATGAACAAACTTGATGCAGCAGAGCTTGGAAAAAGGACATAGGCACTTCTGCTTTCTCTTTTCCTCCCTGAAATACTATGAGACGACAAACAGGTGAGTACGCTGCAGGGATAAGAGACGTCCCTGCACCAGCCAGCCTCTCACCAACTGCCCACAGACACGAGGCCTCTGCTCAGGTCAGCTGACTCACCCTGCTCACTAGAAGACTCACATGAGTCAACCAATATATAACCGTTACTTACCACGAAACGATGGGGTGGTTGGTTAGCTAGACAGCAGATCTTGTCAGGGACTCTTGCCTGTTCCATCAACACAGCCCTGCCTCCACTCACCTTTTTGGTTGTCTTTGTTAACTTAACTTCTACCTACCCTGTGCAACCCTAGGCCATTTTCTTATTCACACAATTTGGGTGATGTCATCCACCTGTTTCAATTGCCTTGCCTTGACAGATACACTCCACAGCCCTGACAGAGTCCAGAGGTTCTCCTTTCACAGAGACATACACACATCTGGTGTCCAGTAAGCATCCACTTACTCAGAAGGGAAGTTGCTAAAGAGAATGGTTGCCGTCTCATGGGGTTCCGTGTCCAGCAAAGAGACAACCAAGTAAACACTGACAATATACTGTGATACATTACAGTGGGAAATGAGTGTTTAAGCAGTGACAGCCATAGAAGGTCTCTGAAGGCTTCACCTGAACACAATTTGGTATTTAGGATGTACATGCATTTCAGCAAAAGAGGAGGGGAGAGCAGAGGCAGAAGGACTGAAAGTTTGAGGTCAGCCTGGGCTACATAATAAAACTTGAGGGAAAGAGAAAGAGAGAGAGAGGCAGAAAGACACAGGATACTTCAGGTAGAATTGTGTATTCTACCATGTGTAGCTTATTGTAACTAAGACAGAGTGGGGACTGGCTATAAGAGAAGATGAGAGAGGTGGGCGGCAGAGACTTATAATACTTGTATGTCACACAAAGGAGTTTGGAAACTATTTTAAAGGTAATGAAGGGGACCCACTGAAAGAATGAGGAAATAATCCAATCATCTGATTTACAGATCATCTTGGTGCAATGTGAAGGAAGGGCTGGAGGGAGCCACACTGGAATTCAGACATCATGATGCTCTTTCATGTAACACAACAGAACTAGAAATTTGGCCATTCCACTTGTTAACAACAGGTCCCTGACAAGTTCTCAACCACTGTGAGGCCTGACTTCCTCAAAAGGAAAGAGGGACAGTAATGTTCATATGTCAGGTTACTCCAAGAATTAAGATACCACACACAGGGTGCTTACCACAGGGCCTGGGCACAGTGATCATCAATATGAAATACACTGTAAGGTGCTCAAGGTCAGCTGATGGGCTGACTCCATTTCATACTGGTCCCAAGGTCTTGCACTACAAATCATTCTCAGAACCCACCACATAGATTTGCTGAATAAATACACATGTGTGACATGCAGAACCAATACTGAGTCTCCTCTTAGTTCAGACCAGGACTGTTCTGTGGTCCTTTCAGAATCAAACACATAAGTGTTAGAACAACTCCCCCCTACCCCCAGCTCACAGAGGTAAAAGATAAAAATAAGACACAGAAATTTCAGTTTTGTAAATTCTTGTGAAACAAAGAAGTGTTGAAGTCTGCACATTTTTCTAACTATATGATATGGTGAGAAGGAATATTTTTATGCAAACCTAGTTAGCACATCACATCTTTGCAGAACAATGCTAGACATTCTACCACTTGAGCCACTCCACCAGCCCTAATCTCTGCAGAACAAAATGTAAAGTTCTACTCAAGCTTTGTGTGGAATGAAGGAAATCTTACCTTTAAGAAGAAGGGCATAAAGGAGAGTTTAATCCCACGGGCCAGTGCAATGGGCTTTAATTCTTCCCGCAGTTTAACCAGTTCAGTAAGGTTAACCTCATCACAATAGCCAAAGTGAGGTATTTTCAGGGCTGCAGTCATCGTCTTTACCATTGCCTTTTGAAAGCCTAGGGAACATCCAACCATTGTTTACAATGGTTACGTTGTTTACAAATGTAGTGATGTGGGAAACATCTAATCACCGTGTACAAACGTGATCATGTATTACTCTTCAGAAATTAATACCACACACAAATTGAAGTATTTCCTGGGAAGCTATGTTATTTCATCACTAAAAAGTTGTATGCTGAATTGGAACTGTTCCTTAAGTAAGAATTAAAAACATCCTATATTAAACAAGCATTTATTGAAGTAGCTTCCTCCAAAATAAATGCACTGTTGCTCTCCACTGCTGTTCCTGTTACCTGTTAGAGGTTGTGCTTTGTCTTGGCCTGTGAAAACTGGCGGTCTTGATGTTGGTGTGGGAACAGCCCTGTCTTTTGGCTTTGGTGGAGGTGGCATAACTTCAGCTTTTGGTGAAGGAGGCAATATGGCGCCTGTTTGCCTTTCCAAATAGTTGAGAATATCTTCTTTAAGTATTCTGCCATCTTTTCCTGAGCCAACAACTTCACTTAGCTTGATCTAAACCAAAACAAAACCTACAATAATTTCCTAAAATAAACCTTACCACCAAGGTTTTAAAATGGAAGTTAACCAGGGCTAGGCTCAAGTGGTAGAGCAAGACCCTGAGTTCAAGCCCAAGTACCTCCCAACACACACACGTGGAAGGTAATCAGTTCAAGATGTAATTACATCTTTGCCAAATAAATTAGTACATTTTTTATTATCTTAACAGATAAGCTAGAGAAAACATACCTAAGTAGGTCAGTCATTTATTACTTTTTTTTTTTTTTTGGCAGTACTGGGGTTTGAACCCAGGGCCTCCTGTTTGCAAGGCAGGCGATCTACCACTTGAGCCATCCCCCAGCTCTATTTATTACTTCTGTGTGCACTGTTTATTGGCATAGCAGTATTGAAGTATCTATATAATACATAGCTATTTATGAAAATTTGCATTTTCAATCAGATATTTTTTAAACTCCCACAATTCTTTCTTGACCTTTTCTATTTTTAGAGACAACATAAGAAGGTGAAGTAAGAATTTAAAGAAGAAATAAACACTATAACAAATTTAGATCGACACTTCTGATGCTGGCTACCAGTAAGACATGTAATACTGTAAGTCATTAGCATATAAAGCTCTCGCAATTCGGTTTTTTTCCTTCCTCTTTTTATTTTACCAATTTTACATTTACTTACATGTGTATACAATGTTTGTGTCACCTCCCCCCACCACCCCCACAATTAATTTTTTCTGCTGGTTGCTCTAGAAATATCAGTACAAGATATTTAATTCTATTTAAATAAACACATTCCAGCTTAGATGACAGCCCTATACACATGTGTATTAATTAATTTCTGAGGGTTGTACCTCACTTCCTTTGGATTAGTGCGTCTCTAAAAGACGACTTTAAAAAAGTAAAGGACTATAATACCCAACATGAACTTTATAACAAATGAACTCTAAGAATTTCAACAAATAATTTTTAGGTAATTACAAACAACTGTAAATGCCTCTGGTGTCACCGGTTTTTTCATTTTAAACAAATTCAATTAATATTCAATCTGCAAGAAAAGAGAAAAAGCGGTTTATGATAATAAAATCTACTATTTAATTTCTAATCATATTTGTACACTTCTTTAGGAAGTGGTACAGGGAAACTAAGCCATGCATATCTTCTACACATGATCTTTCTATATAACTAAGAAAAAGCATAGCTAAAGTGCTTTATAGCATTCTTTCCTGTTTTTGGAAAGGGGGGTTGTTTTTTGAGACTGGGCCTTGCTATGTAGCTCAGGCTGGCCTCGAACTCATGATCTTCCTGCCTTAGTATCCCAAATTTAGGCATGCCTAATCATGCCTACTTGTTTTATAGCAATATATTACATAATTATTTCATCTGATGGCCTTAACATCCTAGTGTTTCATATGGTAATTTCTATTTTCTAATATGCTTATTGGCTTTTGTATTTGAACATACTTAATCATTGTGTAAAATTGCATCAAGGGGAGGACTGGGCACGGTGGCTCAGACCTATAATCCAAGCATTTGGCTGCTGAGGCAGAAAGATTAAGAGTACCAGGGCAGCCTGGCCTATATAGTGAGATCCTGTCTCAAAACAACTGAAAGGAAAAGTTTGTCCAAGGTATATAACATAACTTATGTAAGCATTTCCCCATTCTGCTTTTTCTTTCTTTGGCAGCACTAGGGTTTGAACACAAGGCGTCAGGCTTGTTAGGCACGTGCTCTACCAATTGAGCCACGCCTCCAGCCTCAACTTTGAACATATACAAACTTTCTAATTTTGGGCTAAGACACAAGGAATAGCGTGACAGTACAGGAGGCAGAGGCAGGAGGATCACAAGTTCAAAGCTAGCTTGGGCTATACAGCAAGACTCTGTCTAAACGGATAAACAAAAACAAAAAACCCTAAAACCCAAGGAAGAATCCATCCTAGATTATATTTGAGTACACATATGCTCAAATAATGGGGGCAGGACATGACAGGAAGCACTGGTTTTGCCATGACACAGACTCATTGTTAAGTTCTGGCTTCACTGCTGTATCAGTTGTATGATCTCAGCTACTTTACCTCTGTAAGTCTTAGGACAGCACCTCGTCTCACAGGTTAAATGAGACAATGTGTTAGTAGTTATTGCACAGACAACATGCCACCTTGCTTGGCATTTTACCCTCCATTTGGCCAATGACTGCTATAGTTTGGATCTAGAATATCTCTCAAAGTTCCATGTGTGGGCTTGGTCCCAAGTTTGTGGCTATGAGAAAGTGGTGGAAACTTTGAGGTAGGATGTAGTAAGAGGTTTTCTGATCACTGGGGATGTGCCCTAGAAGGGAATTCTAGGATGCCTGTCTATGTCTCTGAAAGTAGATCAAAATAAACCTTTCCTCTTTTTAAGTTGGTTGTCTCAGGTATCTTGTTATAGAAACAGGAAGCTGACTACAAGACGACAAAGGGAATATAAATGGTCAGCTCCTTGTCTCAGTGTAGTACACTTCTGTGATATTTCCCATCCCTCTTGGACCAAGGCAGATCCTTGTCACCACATCCATCCCTGGCCCACTGCTTTCTCTCCCCTTTCCTATCCGCTTCTCTCATTCCCTTTACAGATTTTCATGCATTTAATAAATCCATCACAGGTATGCAAGGTCCTGTCTCCAGTTACATTTGTGGTTCACCTGACGGAAGACACTCAGTAAGTACTCAATGACTCTTAATGCTACGAGGCGCTAATAAAGAGTAACAGAAGCACAGAGCCCAGCTAGAATCAAATAATAAGTTCCTGATGTCATTCTCCAAGTGCTCACATGTCACTGTCACTTCTCAGTAACAGACATTGTGTATGCCGTTTCATCACAGGACAGGCGGCTGGTTGTTCAGAGACACAAGCACGTACCTTCTGTGCCAGCTTCAGTAGCAAGAAAACTTACGTTGTTTTCCATGGCCAGGCGTCGAACTGCAGGGGTGGCCAGAGTCTTCTGACCCTTTATCTGCTGGTGTGTGTGCTCATCATGGGACATGGCGGGCGTTTCCACGACATCTTCTTCTGAATCTGGTAACAAGGCAATACTTCAGCTGAAAATAGTCCTGTAAAAAGCTTGGTGGCCTATAGTACCTACAACTCAAAGGGACTGGTCAGAGTGGGCAAGTAGCATTCTTGACTATTAGACGGGGAGAACGTGCAACATGGTAGTGGTAAGTGTGGAGTGGGATGGTGCCAGTCCTGGTTCTGTTTAAGTACTCGTGTGCATGTGTGTACTTCATGTTTCGTAGTCATACAGCAGCTGCAAGTTAATCTGAGAGTTTTTTCTATAAGGTTTTTTTTTTCTTTTTGGCAGTACTGGGGTTTGAACTCAGGGCCTCACACTTGCTAGGCAGATTCTCTAACCCTTGAGCCATACCCCCAAGTCCATTTTTTTTTGCCATAATTATTGTTTAGGTAGGGTCTCACATTTTTGCCGAGGGCCAGCCTTGGGCTGCAGTCCTCCTTCCTTGTAGATGTGACTACAGGCTCACACCACCACATTCGCCTTTACTGGTTGAGGCAGGGTTTTGCTAGCTTTTTTGCCCAGGCTGACCTTGAACCATGGTCCATCCTGACTCTGCCTTCCTAGTAGCTAGGATTAAAGACATATATTCCGTGCCCAGCATTCTTCTATAAAATTTTAAACATACTGTATTTTAAACACTTCCCTAACAAAATTCTCAGTTATATTTTTATACAAAGCATAAAGAAAGAATCAAATGTGACATAGGTTATCTGAAAGAATCATATAAAATTTGTGAACATTTTAAAAGCTTTCATTGTAGCTTAAAATTCTGCTCTGCTTTGAGGGCTGGGGCCAAGCCTCAGGCAGTAGCGCACCTGCCTAATGGAAGACTGAGTGCAAACTGCAGGACCTCTAAAAAAATTAATAAAATAGAATAAAATGTTGCTCTGCTTTGAATATGGTTTAATGAGTTCTGCGGCTAATGCTCATCTGGTTCTTATGATGCAAGAAAAACTATCAAGCTATTAGTATGTATATTTTGGAAGAAAAAATGTTTTTTGCAAGCATTTAATTGTCAAAGTTTGTTGTTAGGAAATCTGTCTGAACCAGCAAATGAAAAACTTAACTTCCACAAATCAGTAGACAACCTGGTTTGCTTTGACACTGACATTGAACTTTAAGCAAATAAAAATTTCCACCACTGTGGAGACAGTCTGTCCAATCCTCTAACTAGTCTATAAATTGGGCCCATGGAGCTCTCAAAAGTCTCGGAATGGTAAAAAAGGGAAAGAACCAAAAACCTTTTATTGGAGCGCTATTATATGTGAAATACCGTGTTACACACACAACATCAACTTAATCTTCATTCAACAGTGTAAGGTAGGATTATTATTTCCATTTTATATACTTTTACAAAATGAGGCTTGAGCGATAAACGGATTGGCCCAAGGTCAAAAAGAATTGAAGAGCTGAAATTCAAGCCTATAGCTGACTCACGCGTGCTGTCCCATTAGTTCGTGGCCCTAGTAAATTGTATTTGATCTTTTTTTTTTTGGTCAGTACCATGGGTTGAAATCCAGACCTCAAGCTCACTAGGCAGACACTGTCACTTGAGCCACACCCCCAGTCCTTTTGTGCTCTAGTTATTTTTTTAGGAAGTACTAGTTTTTGTTGAACTAGGCAAAAATTCTTGCTGGACCATATGAGCCACTCCACTAGTCCTTTTTGTGTTGGTTACTTTTCAGATAAGGTCTCGCTTTACGCCTATTTTACTTGTGCTTCCTTGTGTAGCTGGGATGACAGGCACACACCATTATATCCAGCCACTGGTTGGACTTTTTGCTTGGGCTGGCCTTGAACTGTGATCCTTCTGATTGCTGTTTCCCAAGTAGCTAGGACTATAGGTGTGAGCCACCACATCCAGCCAACCCTAGCAACGTTTCTTTCATGTCCAAGTAACTGGACTACAACTCCTAGAGTTAAAGATGTAATTTTGTTGAACTTTCTGAATCTCTGTATATTCTTCATATCTAGTTAAGTTACTGGAGACACTAGTAAGAAAGATTAGCATTAGAAACTAGACCCAAAGAAAAATCAAGAGATTCTGTTGTAGGAACCCCAGTACCAATGTGGATAATGTCTATTTGTTGAAATATGAGAAACATATAACCCAAAAATATATATCAAAATTACTAGATGCATTTTGAAAGATCAAGTCATTCACAGTTACTTTCCTGGAAAACATTTCCTGGAAAACTTTCCTGGAAAACCTCTATATTTCTGTCTTTTAGAAATCTGGGTGTAAATAGGAGTGATAAAACAAACATACTGGTGAGAAGTCGTTCATGTGTTATTTGTCACACTCACGTAGTTACTTTTAATTAACACAGTATCATCTTACTACAAAGCATGTCAAATAGCTTCTAAAGTGTTTTTACACGTTTCTCCTTTGATGATCCAAAAAATGCTGAGTAAGCAGGGAAGATCTCACAATTTTACCGCTAGAGAAACAGAACCTGAGGAGAACAGAAGTAAGAAGAAACCCGAATTGTATCCCTCTCCCCAACTGGTGGGATTGAATGGCTCCAGGACTACCCTATATTCTGTAAGGTTTCATCTTTGGTGACTGATCTTCATATAGTGAATCAAAGGCAGTTTTAAAAGCTTTAACTAGGGCTGATGGAGTGGCTCAAATGGTAGAGCACCTGCCTAGCAAGCACAAGGCCCTGAGTTCAAACCCAGTACCACCAAAAAAGAAACATGTTTGTTAATGTAAAGGCAAAGTTCCTATGCTCTAATTAAAATAAATAAATAAATAAAATAAAGGGAGAATGAACTAGACTAAGACATTTAAGGGATGTAATAACCAGGTGACATGTATATTCTGACATTAGATTCTAGTTTGAAAAAAAATTGAAATATCAAGGATATTTGCAGACAAGTGGAGAAATTGAAATATGGCCTGAAATTCAGACAAAATAAAAATGTTTTATCATGAAACACATAGATCATTAACTAAGTAAACATATTACAGCATGTATAATATATTATTTTTGTGAAGAAAAAAAAGGAACCAAAACCAAATATATATACCCTAGAAAAATGTCTGGAATGATAGAGACTTAGGTGCTAAGTAGTGGTGACTTCTGTATAGTAGGACCATAGGTTTTCATTTTCTTATTCTTACTTTTCTGCACTTTATAACTTTCTACAATATACTGCATTTTAGTAAGGAAAATGAAATAAGCAATAATAAGCCTTCAGTAAGCCATCTTCAACTTCTAGAGGCAACACAGTGAAAAATACTCAATTGATGACTCAGGAATCTAGGCTCTAAACTTGGCCCTCCTGGGGCCGAGGCTGCAGCTCGGTGGTGGAGGATTTGCACAGCATGCTCGATGCTCTGGGTTTGATCTCCAGGATGGCACATAATTAAATATTAAGTCCAGCCTTGACACTGACCATTGAGCAAATTGCCCAAACTTTCTGACTATGTACTTCCTTATTTGTAAAACTAGAATCCCTCATAGGGAAAGACAGAAAAAAATACTTTATATATTCTAAAATGTGATTCTGGAAAAAAAGTGATGGCAGTCTTAGTTATCATTGTATGGAACTGCAGCTCTGACTCAGCCTGCCACTGTAACTCAAATGCTGCATTCACACTTCTGAGTTACTACCAAAATGTCTTTATCTCAGCACCTTCAGATGGAATGCTGGCTTACGAGTCCAATCACAGCCTGATGTCAAAGCTGTTTCCTAGATGACACGAGCTAAGTGAACTTTGGAGGCAGAGGGCCAGCTATCTGCAGCCAATGAACTGCTCAACGTTTCATTTGTCCTCTTTCCACTCTCATAATGAATTCCCTTGTGTTACAGCTTCGACTGCTCATGTCCCATGGATGCTGCTGCTTCTGAATGATGTTGTTACTTTCATTGGCTTTCCTTCTTTTCTATTTCTCTTACAGAAGTTTGGCTTTCATAACGATCATCAGTGGGAATGCACATATGTATTACATAAAATCTACACAGATATCCATGGTGCTATGGTATGGGTGTGGCTTGAGTGTTTCCCAAGGGTCTGCTGTGATTAGAAACTTGGTCCTCAGGGTGGCAAAATTAAAAAGTAAGTGGAAACTTTAATAAGCAGGGCCCAGTGGGAAGTCCTCAGCACACCCTAATGTGCTACCCTTGACTAGGCTCTCCACTCCAGGTACAAGATGTGATTGCTTGTTGCTGTATGCACCCCTGCCAGGATAGGTCACCATCAGCCACCCTTACCAGAGGCCAAACCAATGAGCTGTCCAATCTTGAATTTCGAATCTCCAAAAGAATGAGCTAAATGAACCTGTATCAAGTCTTGTTATACTGATGAAAAGGTGATTAATTACAAGTGGTAATGAGAGCAGTCCTATGTTAGATTTAACTATACTGCAGGGGGTGGGGAGGGGTTAGGGGTGTGCTGGGGATTGAACTCAGGGCTTTGTACATGCTAGGCAAGCTATCAAATACTTGAACTATGCCCTTTTTTTTTTTTTTTTTTTTTTTGCTTGGGCTACTCTCAAACTCAAGATCTTCCTGCCTCTGCCTCCTGAGTGGCTGGCATTACAGGAATGAAGCATCATACCTGGCTTAGATTAAATCCTTGTATACTTGAATTTTTGTCCTTAGTGACCAGTCTTCAGGACCTGAATCTTTAAATCCTGAGACAGCTTGTTGCTTCTTTGAACACAATGGTTTCTAGAAGGCAGGCCTCCAGATAAATGAAATCTTACTTTACATGTTTACAACATGGTAACTGATCAAAAGGTAATATGCACTACAGAGAATCTTTTCTGTTTTCCTAATTTTGTCTTTTTAACCCACAACATAGATTCTCTGAGGTGTTAAAAATAAGGATCAGTGGCTGGAGGTGTGGCTCGAGCAGCAGAGCAGCGCCTGCTTGGCAAGCACAAAGCCCTAATTCAAACCCCAGTCCCACCAAGAAAAACACACAAACAAACCCAAGATCCTTTGCCAGGTGCCTGTGGCTCATGCTTGCCATCCTAGCTACTCAAGAGGTAGAAATCAGGAGGGTAGAAAGCCTATCTCAAAAATACCCCACACAAAAAAGGGTGCGCAGAGTGGCGCAAGTGGTAGGATACATGAGGCCCTGAGTTCAAATTCCAGAACTGCTAAAAAAAAGTAAGGATCACTCTTAACTATTGTTATTGTTCTTACTGTTTTTTTGAGATACAGTCATGCTGGCCGTGAACTCACTACCCTCCTGAAGGCTGGGATTGAAATCATGTGGTGCCACACCTGGCAAGGATCACTTTTTGTAGGGACCCAATGACAAAAGGACGGCAGTAATCGATTGGGTAAGACAGGTGAGCACATTTAGGTACCTTTTAAAGCTTCTGTTTCTATGTCTACTAATGGCTTCCCCACATAGGCAGTATCATCCAGATTATAATAGAGCTTCTTAATGACACCATCGTAACGGCTAGTGATGGTAACAGACGCTTTATCACTTTGAACTTCACAGATGCTATCAAACTGAGACACTGTGTCTCCTTCTTTCACATACCTAAAAGAAAAGGATGCGAGACACTTTACATGAACAGTCATGTCAGATCATCCTATGTAAAAGCCGTGCTGAGTCATGTCAGCACCCATCTAGCCCATGTCAATGTGCATTGCGCCCAGATGGTACACCAAGAAATGTGTCAGAGATGAACTTGGCTTCCAGAGAAGCTTTGATAAGACCTCCAAGAAATGCTAAAATTTTAACAACCGTTCATGGATCTAAAGATTTAATCACACATTTGTGTTTTCTGCATGATCCATCTTTTTGGAAAAGTTCTTCAAATGTTATTTTTTAAATGGTATTTGTTTATTGACTTGTATTACAGGATGAGCAACTCTAACTTAAAAACCCCAAATCTGAAACATGCCTCTAAGAAATGCCATTGTTTCTAGAATTAAGTAAAAAAAAAAAAAAGAAAGAAAAACTTGATGTCTTCAATACACATCCTTTGTGCATTGAATTTTAAGTAAGAGTTCTCTCGCTGTTTCTTTCTAGAATTATTTTAGTCTTCCTTTGCATATCATTACCTTAATCATTTTAGGTATGCTTTTACAGAGTTCATATAGACATTCTTAGCAAACAGAACAGGAGGAACGGGACCAAACCTGAAATGCTACAGACAATTTTGATTCTAATACCATTCCTGAAGTGTCTAGCATATTTCTGACTTGCCATTAATTCTTCAAGATAATTGTTAATCCATTCTTACTCCTTGTCTTCCTATCTTAACCAGCTCTCAGAGCCATGATAAAACATCATGCATGACATAGCATTAGGTTTAAAAGCACACATAAAAGCTCCATGTATAGTTCAGTGGTAGAGTGCTAGCCTAGCATGCTCGAAGTCCTGAGTTCAATCCCAAGGGGGAAGGGAGGAAGGGAGGGAGGGAGAAAAGGAGGGAGGAAGAAAGGAAAGAAGGAAGGAAGGGGCACATACAGAGAAATTATATTTCCAGAATGGCAAACTAAGGACCTCCAAAGATCTCTCTTCCATACAAGCAACAAGTACGCTGACAAAAGTTAAAAAAAAATCAACTCTTCAGAATTCTAGAACTTAAAAAATGTTTGCAAAAACTGAGATGTACTTATTTAGGAAAACTGGCTGGGCCTCATTAAAAACAACAGATTCTGTGGTATGTTTAACTTGCTCTATTACTATCTTCCTTCCCCTACCTTGCTCAGCAGTAGCCATGAAAATCAGCAGCCTGGCAGATGGGGTGTGGAACTCCACAAAAAGCTACACACCCAGAGAACTGTCACTCTTTGTGACTTGCCTGGCAGCTCCCGGGAAAAGCTGTATCCACAGGGTTTCTCTTGGCGCAACTCAGAGCTCCCTTTGCTGGAAAAGATCTATTGCCAGTGTTTGATGAAAACAATTGGCAGTATTCTTATAAGTATTGGTTGGCTGAAATAGTAAGAGAAGCTGGGGGCAAAGTATGGCCAAGAATCTCAAAAGGAAGATCTGGGCAATGAGATGCCCACAGGCAGCTTTGTAAAGTGCTGACACATTCTGAAGGATCTGAAAGGCCATGCAAATGTGCAGCGCTATGACGTGCTCAAGGAAGACCTCAGTGGGCTCCAACCTGTCACATCTAGCTGAATGAGGCCCTGTGAATGCAGAAAACAAAGGCTGAGGCACAACTTTAAATTGCCATAGGACTGAGGTGTGTTCAGAGTACACACAGAATTGTTCAGAGTACACACAGAATTCCTTGGCAAAGAGTTGAAGCCTTATTGGCTCAAGATATTTAAGGAAATCTATATCTAATCATTAGGGGTTCACTAACTCGTGTATAGACTTCAGTGGTAGCAACAACAAAAGTCCTGGGGAGGTAAAAAAGGGCTGGAGGGATGGCTCAAGCTTTATAGTGTTTGCTTAGCAAGCATGAAGGCCTGAGTTCAAACCTCAGTACTGCAAAAAAAAAAAAAAAAAAAAAACTCCTGGGAAAGAGGAGATATGATTCCCAGATTTGTCATTTAAAATGTCCACCTTTCAACCAAAACATATGAAGAATGCAAAGAAACAGAAAAATAAGGCCTATACACTTGAAAAAAATGTAGACAACAAAAACTATCACTGAGGAAGTCCAGATGTTGGGCTTACTAGCCAATGACTTAAAATTGACAATTAAAAGTTAACTTAAATGAATATTAAAATGCATTCAAAGATCAAAAAGAATGTATAAAATTAGCAGGAAGTATGAGACAATGATGTCTCACAAAATAGAGAGAAGATCAATAAAGTGATTGAAATATATATATATATATACATATATATATATATATATATATATATATATATATATATATATATATAAATTAAAAAAAACACACCAAATTCTATAGCTGCAGATTACAATGACTAAAATGAAAACTTCACTAGGGCTCAACAGCAGAATCTATTTGGTAGATGAAAGAATCTGTGAATTTAAAGTTAGGTCAGTTGAGATTTTTCCAAGGAATAAAAAGAAAAGAAAAAATGAACATAACCTCAGAGAACTGCAAGACATCATCAGTTTTCTGTGAGGAAAGGAGAAAGGGGCAGAAAGAATATATGAAGAAACAGTGCCCCCAAGTTTTCCAAATATGATGGAAAACATTAGTGTACACATGTAAGAAATTCAACCAATTCCAAGAAGGAGAAACTCAAAGAGAGCCACACCTAGATACATCAAAATCAAACTGTTGAACAATAGAGAATCTTGAAAACAGCCTAAGAAAAACCACTTACCATGTACAAGGACTCCTCCTGAGGTTAACAGGATTTCTAATCAGAAAACACGCAAGCCAGAAGACAATAAAATGGTATATTCAACATGCTGAAGGGAGAAAACTGTCAATCAAAAATCTCCTATCTGGCAGAAACTATTGAAATATTTCACATAAAACTGATAAAAATCAGTCCAACACACTTGTCCTTCCAAAAATACTAAGATATTCAGGCTGAAATGAAAGATTAAACAGAAACTCAAATGCATATGAATAAATAAAGAACATCAGTAAAGGTAAAAACACAAGTAAATTAAAAAGAGAACTAAAATACTACACAAGAAATATTTACTTGATTCAAAAGAAGGCAGTAATGGTTAAAAAAAAAACAAAGAGCAAAATGACAGATAAAAATCTTACCTTATTAGTAGTGACATTAAACGTAAATGGCTTAAATACTTGAATAAAAAAGGAAAGATCAGAATGGATTTTTTTAATGATCCAAGTATGTGGATATAAGATATACTTTTTCATCTTTTTTTTCAGAGTAAAAGGATGAAAATTGAAGGGGGAAACGAAAAAAAGACTGATTAAAAGTGAAAAGGATAGAAAACATACAAACACCAAAAGAAGAGGTGGAATGGTTACCAATATCAGACAAAATAGATTTTAAGAGAAAAACACGTATGTTGTCTAAACTTTTATTTTGTTTTTGAAATTGGAGTATTTTTCTTCTTTATTCATACTTTATTCACACATAAATGTATGGAAAAACAACTTCTAACAATAAACTTCCCCCTTATACAAAACCACACTTTCTGTCAAATTATGCTTCCTTACTTATTCAGATTTCAGGCTCCTTTCTATAGACCAAATTTTGCTTTTTAGCATTTTACCAATTATAAGACAATATGTATTTTTCCTGAGTTATTTATAAATATGAAGTTAGAGATCAAACATACAACTCAAGAGCTGGTGGAATGGCTCAAGGGGTAGAGCACCTGCCTTGCAAGCATTGAGGCCTTGAATTCAAACCCCAGTGCTGCCAAAAAAAAAAAAAACCCAAAAAGCAAAAAAACTCAAGAAAGCTTTTTTTTGGGGGAAAGGGTTCAATACTGGAGTTTGAACTCAGGGCCATATGCTTGTTAGGCAGGAGCTCCACCATGAGAACCATACCCTCAATCTCAAGAAAGCTCTTAATGTTTCTTTAAGAATTTCTGAAAAACAAATGATTTATCTCTCATTGAAAAACTAATAGATTTACTATTTGATTTTCTGTTCTTTATTTTTTAGGAGTGCTGAACTCATCTCCAGCCCTTGGTTTTTGAGATAGTCTTTCATGTAGCTCAGGCTGGCCTTCAATTTGCTGTGAAGCCCAGCGTAGCCTTGAACTTGACACCCTGTGACCTCCACTTAGCTGGGATTATAGACATAGGGCAAAACATCTAGCCTTAGGCTTTTCATCAAGAATAAAACAATTTCCTATTCCAAGAACCTCAAATCTTTCACTAGCATGTGGAGCTACAGAATTAACAAGAGTAGGAATTAAGAAATGTCAGAAAAATTTAAAAACCTAGAAAGGGTAACTTGGTCTTAAAAATAAAGTATCAATAAATCAAATGTACATAGCTCTTTGGAGGTTTTTAAAGGCACTTCCTACACATTACATTCATTTCAACAACATTGTGAGTAGGCAGAGGCAGTATAAATGTACAAGGCCCCACTTTATACATTAAGAGACAGTGACTCAGAATAAGTAAGTCACAGATAAGGTAGCTGATAAGCTTCAAAGTCAGGATATTCTGACTGAGGTTCATTCCTCATCTCACAATCCCACTGTGCCACTAACACACAGCTGTAAGGGATGTCTATGTTATTATAGTCCTCTTCTATTTACAAATCAAAAATGGTAAGAAGTAGAGGAAAAGAATGTTCAAGTGGCTTAATCAGATCCTTAAAAGAATCTGAGCTGGTATGGAGGAGCATACCTGTAATTTCAGTTCTCAGGAGGCTGAGACAGGAGGCTCCCAAGTTCAAGGTCAGGCCTGGGCTATATAACATGGGGGGAAGGAAAAGGAGTGGAGAGGAGGGGAGAAGAAAGGGGAGGAGAGGGAAGTGGAGGGGAGAGAAGAAAGGGAAGGAAAGGGGAAAAAGGGGGAAAGGGGGAAGGGAAGAAAAGGGGTGGGAAGGGAAGGCTCTTGAACAGTATAAAATTATGGTCAGAAAAATCTATTTACTCACCTGAATTGTTACTTCTAAAAACCTCTTAAAGTTAGTTTAGGATGCAGAGGTGGTTTTTTTCCTCCCAATAAGAGAAAGAAAAAGGGTAGAAGATGACTAAAGTGGTAGAGGGGCTTGTTTCAGGTGTGTATGTGTGTGTATAATATATATGAATATATAATTTAATTTCCTAAAGATATAGGGAAAGAGTGTCAGGTCAAAGTGAGTCAAACATTTCTTACTAAAATCATTTTCAGCGTGGTAAAGAGAGCACAGACTATAGGATGATTTCAAAATAATTTGGAAGGAAATTATAAGTTCATACATTAAATGCTTTAAAGACATATATATGGTGGGGTGGGTGTAGGTCAGTGGTAGAGTACCTGCTTAGGCTGCTTAAGGCCCTGGGTTCAATCCCCAAGACCTCCCATCATATGTGTGTGTGTGTGTGTGTGTGTGTGTGTGTGTGTGTGTTTGTATCTTTATATCAATTTATCACCTTTTATAAGATAATTTCCATGTTTTTATTTTGTTTTGTTTGAGGCAGGGTCTCATGTGTAGTTCAAGCAGGCCTTGAACTTGAGATCCTCCTGGGATTACTCTAAATTAATTTTCCTTTTTAGCTGACATAAAGGATAGACAGTAAAAGGATCTTAAAAAGGGGGAGGGAGCAATAATTATCCACAAGTCACATCAAATAAAATGCTTTGGCGTATGACAAATTTTGCCACAAGCATATTGTCAACTCAAAGTAATTATAACTTACTGCTGTTAAAAAAAAGTATTAAATGTTTTATGAAGAAATTTCTCAGTTTAAATTAACTCATACTCATTTGTGCTTAAGTCAGTTTTACATTTACTTAGATTTTTTTTTTTTGAGATGAACTTACCATTCTTTCACAGTGACTTCTCTAATCCCTTCTCCAATGTCTGAGAGTTTGAACTGAACGAGTTGCCCCCGTACAGCTTCAAAGACAAATGAGAAATGACCTTATTAAATGTGTCTATATTACCATTAGTTGCTCTTACATCTCAAATTAGAAAATGCTGTCAAGCAGAGACAGAAACTGTTCCATCTTTCAGACAAAAATGCAGGCATTTTATAATTCTAAAATCAAAACCACTATTCATAACCATTAAGGATTTAAATAAGTTATTCCATGACACAGACCTAGTGACACTGACATAGAACTTACATTTTTCAACTTCCCAAATAATGTTCTTTTACAGGGTTACAAAAGTCCCTGCTAACAAATCAATGAGGTTTTGAAACAATAGTAATGAACAGAAAGCGGAACAAGGATATATACAATAAGGTTCCCCACGGGATCTCCTAATTTATGGTAGGAAATGACAATAATTTACCAGAAATGGCCTGCTGTCAGTTAGATCTCTTTTGACTCCCTGTCACCATCCTTACTCTTTATGGGTAGAAATCAGTAGACCTGATGGGAAATTCTTATATGCCTAAATTAGGTTCTGCCAAATTATCCCTAACACTTTTCTTTCCTCTTTCCATGTTCAGCCCTCTTGCAAATGTCTACCTTTTTCTTTGTTTTGGTGGTACTGGGGTTTTGAACTCCAGACTTTGCATGTGCTAAGTAGGCAACCTAACACTTGACCTATACTCGTGGCCCCCCCCACCCTCTTTTTTTTTTTAAATAAAACTGAGAAGTTGTATGGTAATTATTCCCAAAAGACAAAGGATTTCCAGTCAATACCCAGCATCCCCAGGTCCTCTCCACTTTTCCAAGTTAACAAATGACTCTGAATCTACTCAGAAGATCTGTCTTCAGACTGCTGCTAACCATGTATGTATAAAATGTGCAACCCGGTGATGGGATTATAAAACTTCCCTTGATAAATAGAGGAGTTAAGGGCTGGTGGAGTGGCTTAACTGGTAGACACTCTGCCTAGCAAGCATGAGGCCCTGAGTTCAAATCCCAGTGCTGCAAAAAAAATCTTGAGTGGATAGATAGAGGAGTTAAACAGTAAGGAAATATAAAACAGCTTTTTGGCCTGGAGGTATTAAGCAGTTGTTTCCTCTCTAATGTAGGGCTCTCTCCCAGCTTACTGCTTAATGTATGTCCTGGTGTCTCTCTAAAAAGGAACGTGATTTAGAAGGACCAGAAAACTTAAGAGCTGGGTGTGGTGGCCTGCACTACTCAGGAGGCTGAGAAAGGATGGTTATTTGAACCAAGGCATTTGACGCCAACCTGGGAATACAATACCCTGCCTCCCAAAAAACAAAACAACAAAATGCCTTAAATGTTTTTGAAAGTCTACATCTTTAATTCAATAAGTAATTCTACTTCTAGACTTTTTTTTTTTTTGCAAAGGAAGTAATTAGAAAGGAACACAAAGATTTGTGATCAAGAATGGTTGGTTTTGAGTTCAAATGAAGAAGGAGAAATCTATCTATGTCATCAAAATGAAGAGTAAACAGTGGCACCTCAGTGCACAGCAATACTCAGCAAGGAAAGCAAGAACACAGGAATGACTGCATAGCAGGGTAAGGGAATGATGCACAGTTCTATATGGTTGAACAAAGGGAGGGTATTGGCAAAGCGACCCAGATGTAAAACAGCTTTGTGTGCCATGCTAAGATGTTTGGACTTTATCCTAAAGGTCACCAGGAGCCACGTTCCCATCGAGAGGTAGAATCTGTGTCACCACATCTATAGCTATGCTGGGCTGACTTGCTGGATTACCCAGTGTAGAAGAAATGAAGCCGTGCAAGTTCAGCAGCCCAGGTCTCAAGGGTCCTCACGCTTCTACCTTCTTCCTTTTGGAATGCTGATCTAATGTCCCTGAGAATGATAGGCCATATGGAGGAGAAATGAGATGTCCCAGTGGAAAACCAGCAAAAACTGTCAGACGCGTGACTGACGCGATCTTGGACACTCTCACCTAGATGATTTCAAGCCACTAAACTTGGAGTGGCTTGTTAGGGGGGGAACAGCAGAGGCAAAGCAGGGAGGGAAAGCAGGCGCCTACTGTAGGTAAGACTTAGGAATGGAGCTTACATAGTCCTCAAAGCTGTTGGAAAAGGAGAAGATGGATTTGAGGAACACATGAGATGTGAAATTGACGGTGTTTGGCAAATGACTGGAAGTGAGACAGGATTCAGGATGACTCTAGGTTTCTAGCTGAACTATTTGATTTAAGGAATCTGGGAAAAAGAGACTTGTAAAAGACTGGGTTTGGGGAATCTGATTTATACATGAGACAGGAACAGAGATGCTTAGCCACCAACTGGTGAGACAGATGTTCAAGCTACAGCTACAGATTCCAAAATGTCCAATGAGCAGGTGATACTTGAGGCATGAGAGTTGATGGGATGTAAGAAGAGGCATGGCGAAGAGTGTGCTCCTGTAAAAACTGAAATCAAAGAGAAGCAAAGGAAGAGGACCTTAAAAAGAGAAGAGTGCACAGAGAAAAATAGATACCAAATGCTTTTCACATTCTAATTATTTAATCTGCCAGGTATAAAGATGTTAATTTTGCCTCCTGATGTATTGCAGGTACCCAGGGCAGTGCCATGGTGCAGTGGGTGACCAACAAATACTTGTAGAATGAATGAATTCCACAATACAATGAATTAACTACTATAATTATGCCATAGTCCAGATGAAACTGACTTTTAAAATTTTTTATTTATTTATTTTTGGCAGTACTGGGCTTTGAACTCAGGCTCTGACACTTACAAGGCAGGCACTTTACTACTGGAGCCCCTCCAGGACCATGTATGTTTTGTGTGGCTGTATGTGAGGATGTCTGTATACACACACACATATATGTATATACATATATAAATGTTAATCTTTTATTTAAAGTGGTGAAGGTAAGACTTACAAGTCTTAGGCTGTTGTGGAGGCTGACATGTAAAAATCATTGAAGAGCAGAATTTGTCTGAATTCTATTTTTCATTACCAACATACACTAAGGTCCCACATACCGATGTGGGAATCGATAGCCCAATAACACAATCCCAACAGACTAAAGACACGCATCAAGGAAAGCAGGGAGTAGGAGGAAAAACAGAACATGGGAAACGGGTAAATGCAGGGAGAGCCACGCCACAAGTACAAGGTCAACTCTGTTCGACTTTGGTTAGTCTCCAACTACCAAAAAAAAAAAATTAGACAATACTCATAAGATGCTTTATTTACACATGCTGTTTGAGAGCATACTTACCAGCAGCTGTTCTCAGTAAGTGACGTGGGTGATTATACTTAAATGAAGGATAACCGAAGAAACACACGCATTTTGGCTTCAAAACGGGAAGATTACTACATGTTTGAAAATAGCGAACACAAATCTACAGGTCAGAACACAAAAAGAGGCATTTACAAAGTAACTGAACAGTTTATCTGTTTAAGTATATATTGAATTTCAGTTCTATTTTAGAATAATCATTATCACAAGGTCAATAGGAGATTCTCTAGGCAAAACTCAGGACACTTCAGCAGGAACAATCAAGGTTATGAAGATTGGTATTTTCTTAAGAATTTTTGTCCAAGAAATCAAAAGGACTCAAATTTTAGCATAAGGAGAACATTTTGTTGTTCTTTTGTTTAGTAATATAGTCTCAGGGTCAGATCCAAAATTCCTTACACTTCAGCTTACAGGAAGCCATTAGACTTCCCGAAATAAAGCTATGGAAATTTCATAGTGATTATTAGCACGTAAACATGGAAAGACGTATGTAAGTATTATACCCAAAGGTTTTTTTTTTTCCCCCAGCACTAGAGATGGAATTCAGGGCCTTCTACATGCTAGGCAAGCATTCTTCCACTGAGTGTCCCCAAAGTTCTCTCATTACAATTTATAGATGACTTTTTAACTATTTTATGTAACACTTTAGTATGATAACAGGCAATATGTTAGGCTTGGATGTGTTTAACTTGATATATAAAAACCTAAGTGTCTGAAAGGTGTAATAATTTATTTTGAATGTTGACATTTCAGTGTTATTACTATCTGATAACTATATCAAACTTTAGGTAAACTGCAATAATGTCTAACTTCTTAGTGAAAAAAAATCACGTGTATTAGTAGCAATTAGTCTGTAAAAATGTAAAGTTATGATACACATTAGAGACTTTGGTTGGTTGGTTTTGTGTTTGTTTGAGATGGGTTCTGGCCATGTTGCCCAGGCTGGTCTTGAACTCCTGTGCTCAAGTGATCCTCCTGCCTCAGCCTTCCAAGTAGTTGGGACTACAGACATAGGCCACCACACCCAACCTGTACTAGTCATGTTTTAACACGTACTTAGAAATAAGAATTTTTTTTTTCTGAAAGCAAATAATATGAAATAAAAAAATTGATTTACTGACTGGAACAGTACATTTAAATTCTTATGTGATTTTTCTAAAACTTAATTTTTAAGTTGTTACTGATTTCTGAAGCAAAGAAAATGTGAAGATCCCGTTCATAAGTCACGCATCTCAGGGCTGGGGGCATGGCTCGGTGGTAGAGCGCCTGCCTGGCAAGTGTGAAGACCTGAGTTCAAACTCCAGTACTGCCAAAAATAAGTAAACATACATCTCAGCTTTTCTTTAAAAATCTCATTCTCAAGCAACTAATCTTGATAATATCTTTATTTTCATTTCAACATTGACATTCAGGAACAATAGAGCTTATCTAAAGTAATTTAAATTGATAGCTTAAAACTAAGCAGACAGTGAAAAAATTCTTTTTTCCCAGCATACCCCTTTTGTTTGACCTTCCTTTCTCCTTCAACTCCCACAACCCTGGCTCTTGATCAACAACAAAAAAAATCAAAGAATAAAGTCAAACTCTGCCTACTCAGGTAGAAAATGTACAGCAAGTAAATACAAGTTTTGAAATACATAGATTTGCTTTGATTTAAATAAAATACTTCAGATTTTTGAACTTTTTTGGGGGGGCAGTTACAGGAGTTTGAACTCAGGCCTTCATGCTTGGTAGGCAGGTGCTTTACCACATGAGCCACTCCTCCAGCCCTTTATGCTTCAGTTTATTTTTCAGATAGGGTCTCTCACTTTTTGCCACCATTCTCCTCTCTCCACCTCCCAAGGAGCTGTGATTATAGACATGCACCACCATGCCTGGCCCCATCATTTTGCAACTTTTGAAAGAAAATGAAACTATGGGAAGATCATGCTCTAATTTTTCGTAATAAATTATAGGCAGTAAAGGAACTTAAGGAGAGATGTGTGGGTGTTTTCAGATTAGCTTGACCTGGGAAGGCTTCTTGGATAAGAACAAACAATAGAGAGCACAAGGACACAGAAGCCCCGATGCAGAGCAAGAGCACAACCAAAGGAACTGTGCCAGGAATTTGCTTCCGGAATCTGCTGGGGCACTGAGCAACTTGATTTGGTTGCATCAAATTTATAAAAGAAAGCTCCAGGACCAAATTGTTGAAACTGTAAATGTCAGAAAAAGGAGTAAGGATTTTTTTTTTTTTAATGAAAGTAATAATAAAGTTTATTAGGAAAGGAATATGTTTTTTACTGGTGGTTCTGGGGTTTGAACTGATGGTCTCCCACTTGCTAGGCATGCACTCTATTACTTGAGCCACACCTCCAGCCCAGGAAAAGGAGTAAGGATTTATGTATTGTGTGTTTTCTTAAAAAAAGGATTAGGAAATCAGTCTAGCAATCATTTATTAGACTACCATCGTTGAAGAGAAAGGTAGAGGCCAAGGCATGATTACAACCTTGAGACACAAAATAACAGGCTCCTGACCAAAGTGATGACAGTGGAGAGAAAGAGAGAGACTAAAAAACACTAGTGAAAAAAAAAAAAAAACACTAGTGAAGCTAGAGAAGACTTTTTCCTCCCAGAATCAAACTTAAACTAGTAAATTAAGCATAAGGCTTTCATTTAAAAAAGAATGCTTAGGGGGTTGGGGGAGGGGAGAGAAATGACCCAAACATTGTATGCATATATGAATAAAAGAAAAAAATAAAATAAAATAAAATAAGAATGCTTGCCAGGCACCTGTGGCTCACACCTGTAATCCCAGCTATTTAGGAGGCTGAGATCAGGAGGATCAAGTGAGGTTCGAGGCCAGCCTTGAAACCTCATCTCCAAAGTAATAAGAACAAAATGGAGTGAAGGTATGGCTCAAGTGTAGAGGCCTGCTTTGCAAGTGCAAAGTCCTGAGTTCAAATCCCAGTCCCAGCAAAAAAAGAAAAGGCATACTTATACAGTTACCAGTTTTATATATTTTGTAGTTGAGGCAATTTTTAATTTACCTATGAACCAAATTCTATGGAGACTATCTGGCCCACCTTGTCTGAGGCAATCCCACTTTGCATCTAGTGATTCAAGGTAATTACTAATAATTCAATATCTACTACAAGAATACCAAAAAAAAAAATTGTAGCAGGCTGGGGAGCATGCTCAAGTGGTAGAAAATGTGCCTAAGACCAAGCCCTGAGTTCAAATCCCAGTACCACAAAAAAAATTAGACAAAAAGTTTTACACATTAGCATAATAAAGAAATAATAATAATCCAACAGGTAATTGCTGAGCAAGCCTAAAGTCAGACACTGTGCTGGAACCAGAAATTCAAAGCTAAATCCTATGCAATATGTAGTCCCTAAGTTTAAATTAGTCTATTCCAAAGGAGGACAGACACCATAGAAAAGTCCAATATGATGTGGTTAAGTTGGTTAACCATCAAATGCATAATATCCAGGGAAATGTGAAACGTGGTATAAGGCCATCTGTATCTGAATAATTCCCTAGGGGTGGTAAGAGTTCCCATTGCTTACAACTTTTTTTTTTTTTGTGGTACCACGGTTTGAACTCAGGGCCTCCACCTTGAGCCACTCCATCAGTCCTTACGTGATGGTTTTTTTGATATAGGGTCTTGAAAACTATTTGCCCAGGCTGGCTTTGAACCATGATCCTCCTGATCTCTACCTCCTGAGTAGCTAGGATTATAGCCGTGAGCCTGCCTGGCTAGCTTACTTTTATAAAAGATGAAAACACTCTTTTTACTGAGTCACTCAACAAATATTTATGAGCACATACAACATGCCAGGCACTGGGGATTATATACAGAACAAAAAATGATGCACATCCTTCCCTTATAGAGTATACAGTAGAGTGAAAGTCAAGGGCAAGTGGGCAGTGATTGTTACAGTGCTGCAATGGTGGACATAGAGTGTATTAAGGAAACCCAAAGGAAGGAAACTGAGCTGCTGTAAGACATGGGATGTGAGTAGCACAGCAGGAGATAAGCTGTGCTGCTGGAGAGGCCATGGGGTGTAAGGCAAGTATTTATAGCAGAGGAAACACGTATGCAAAGGAATCAACACACATTGTGTGTTCAAATGAGTCCAAGGTGTTTAACAGCGTTCTAGTGTATTGGGGAAGGTAGGAACAGCAGAGTCAGGATCGGTTTTTAATAAGAAATGAAGACTTGTTAGGTGCTGGTGGCTCACGCCTGTAATCCTAGCTACTCAGGAGGCAGACATCAGGAGGATCACAGTTGAAAACCAGCCTGGGCAAATAGCTTGTGAGACCCTATCTCAAAAATATGTATCACAAAAAGGGCTAGCGGAGTGGCTCAAGGTGAAGGTCATGAGTTCAAGCCCCAGTACCGCAAAAAAAAAAAAAAGAAAGAAATGAAGACTGGGAAACTGGAAAGGTCTGATCATAAACTTCTCAGTCACTTGAATTTTGGACATTTCGTTGAGGCAGTATTCCAGATTTCTTATTTATTTATTTTGGTGGAACTAGGGCTTGAACTCAGGGCCTCCCGCTTACTAGGCTTTACTAGGCAGGTGCTCTATCACTTGAGCCACTCTACCAGCCTTGTTGAGGCAGTCCTAAGCAAGAAAAGGACATCAAATGTGTGCCTTACTCTACAAGACCACTCTGGTTACACTGTGGAGAAAGAGATGGAAAGGCATAGATCAGAGGCAGGAGGTCCAGTTAGGATGAACTAGGACACCTGAAGTGGTGGCAGGGTAAAAAACAGGGACCAGATGTTCTTCAGAGTTACAGGCTAGATACAAGAGAAGCAGGTTTGAGGGTTCAACTCAGGAAACCAGAGAGTCTGAGGTGTCTTTGAGGTATCATGGCACATTGTGAGATGGTTAAAGGCTAGGTTTTCTAAGCTCTCTGTGCTAGCACTGGCCAGATCACACTGTTTTACCCAGTTAAGTCACCTGGTTCCATCCCTTCCTCCTTCTTGCCTTGATATTGAGTAAGAAGTTGTAGCAGCTCTCTTATGGCCATGATGGAAAGGGCAAATGAATTGCCGATATGACAACCCTGATGATGAGTCTCTTTCTCAATGCCAGCTGGCATCTCATTTTGGGATGCTCTATGTGCACATAGATGTTTAATTTCCTACTTACTGGTTGGGTTTTTATTATTTGCATCTAAGAATACACTTCTTATACAATGCATTTGTAGACTTCTTGGACATATGCCACATGAGTCTGTGGTAGAACTGGTTGGACGATCAGGGAATCATCAGCACAGATAGTAATTAAACCCAAAGAAGTGGATGAGCTAACACAGGAAATGGGAAAAGTTCAGAGGGCCCAAGTCAGAGCCTCTAGGAACGCCATTAGTCACACATCACTTAAGAACAGGCATGGGCTGGAGGAGTGGCTCAAGTGATAGAGTGCCTGCCTGGCAAGCATGAGGTCATGAGTTCCGACACCAGTACCACTAAAAAAAAGTGATCAAGAACAGTCATATGTTCTGAGATGCAAACATCTTAGTGCATGCTTACACAAACTAAACAGCTCTGCTATTACACATCTAGGTTGCATGATATAACTTATTGCTCCTGTGCTGCACAACTGTAGTAAACACTGCATGCAACTGTCACAGATGGTATTGTGTATCTGTATCTCTAAACACATCTGTAAGAAGAGTACAGTAAAAAGCTAGGCAATAGGACTTTTCAGTTCCATTATAATCTTACAGGAACATTGTCATATATATAGTCCATAGTGGACTGTAACATCCTTATGCAGCCTTTCACTGTATTTAAAACTGGGTAAAGAAACAGATTAACTGGAGGGGTTGTTGAAGTGGTACAGTGTCTGCCTGGCAAGTGTGAACCCACTGAGTTCAAACCTCAGTACCACCCAAAACAAAAAAACACAAAATAAACAACAAAAACCCCAGGAGTTTGGAACAAAGTGGCCAAAGATGTGGGAAGAAGAATATTGGGAGGCTGGTGTCTAGAAGCCAAGAATGGAGAGCTTGCAAAAGAAGGGCAGCCCAAACCTAGCAAGGTACTGCTGACAAGAGCCCTGTTCTGGTCGCCTCCTACTCATCCTTCACACACCTCAAGTTACTCAGTGTCCTCTGGGAATTTCTCTCTGATCCCCACGTCCCCCACAGGGATCCACTCCTTTGTTTTCCTGTAGCTCTATGCACTTGTCCCATCACTGCACTTCGTATGCTGAGTTGTAATTGTTAATAGCTACCGCTGTCTCCTTCTTCCCTGCCCCCACTACAAGGATGCAGTCTCTGGGAGATTGCAGTCTCTGTTTTGTATTTGTATTCCCAGTGCCTAGCAGAGGACCTGCTGCACACAGCAGGTTCTTGAAAGGTCAGGAGTCAATCGCTATAGAGACCTCTAGGGAAATGGAGAAAGGGGAGGGGGTGTCGAGGAAGAAAGAAAGAAAGAAAGGAAGGAGGAGGAGGAGGAGGAGAGGAGGAGGAGAGGAGGAGGAGGAGGAGGAGGAGGAGGAGGAGGAGGAGGAGGGTGTCGAGGAAGAAAGAAAGAAAGAAAGGAAGGAGGAGGAGGAGGAGAGGAGGAGGAGGAGGAGGAGGAGGGTGTTGAGGAAGAAAGAAAGAAAGAAAGGAAGGAGGAGGAGGAGAGGAGGAGGAGGAGGAGGAGAAGGAGGAGGAAGAAGAAGAAGGAAGAAGAAGGAGAAAGAAGAAGAAGAAGGAAGAAGGAAGAAAGAAGAAGAAGAAGAAGAAGAAGAAGAAGAAGAAGAAGAAGAAGAAGAAGAAGGAAGAAGAAGAAGAAAGAAGAAGAAGAAGAGAAGAAGAAGAAGAAGAAGAAGAAGAAGAAGAAGAGAAGAAGAAGAGAAGAAGAAGAAGAAGAAGGAAGAAGAAGAAGAAGAAGAAGAAGAAGAAGAAGAAGAAGGAGGAGGAGGAGGAGGAGGAGGAGGAGGAGGAGGAGGAGGAGAAGAAGAAGAAGAAGAAGAAGGTGTGCAGATAGGATGAAATAGTGTCATTTGGGATGCCTCAGTACTTTGCGAAGTATGACAAAGGGGGACTTGCAGGACAATGGGGTGATAAAAAGTTGGAGTGACGTGGGCACGGGAATTCCAAGCCTCTCCATTCCTCAGGGGTAAGGACCGCCGGTGGCATTCTGTGCTCGACAGGTTTCTTCCTTTAGGCTGCGCATCTCCTGAGGTCAGGGGTGGTAGGACCAGCATCTGCCATACCGTGGGCGCGCACCAATGCCGAAAGAATCTATCTCTGTATCCCTAAGCGCCTTTCACAATGCCTGGCACCTGGCAGGTGCTCAGTCAAAGGTCAGCAGGTGAAAGGCTAGTGGGGTCTGGGGATGCAGGTAATACAGGACGGCGACCTGATCGCGACAGAAGCGCCCTGGCGTCCGGGGCAGGAGTGCAGACCGGTTTGCAGACCGGTGGGCTCGCCCCCCTTCTCTGCCCTTTCCTTACCACGCATCCTCCACCTGTCCATCGGGTGGACCCGTGGCTCTCGGAGAAGTAACACAGCACTCCTGGATGTGACTCCGTAGAAACCGCTCCTTCCCTGCCCGACGTCACCCACACCGGCTTACCTGCAGCCTTGCGCTCCAGCTCCAGGTCCCCAGGGCACGCACTGCGGCCATCTTTCTCCGGAAATAGCGTCTCTGGGTAACTGGGAGAGAGGCCCTCTCCGGGCGGCCAATCAGGAGGCGGGAGACGCACCTGAGCAGCCAATGGGGAGCGAAGGAACGAGCCTCCCACCCGGTAGCCAATCAGGGAGTGGGCGGGCCCGAGCGACCTCGTAGGGCGCTGATAGCAAAGCGTCTAAGGGAGTGGGAGAGAAGTGAGAAGGAGCAGGGTGGCTCAGATTTCAATCCTGGTGCGGACTCGGGCCTGGTACTGCTGCGTAAGCACATATGCTCCAACGATAATCTTTTTAGTCCTTGTACTGGGGGAAACGGAGTCACCCAAAGGAGGAGCGCTCACCTAAAGACAGGTTAAGCCCTGAGGGGTGAGTAGGAAAGTATCCTTCTTGGTGCTGTATGGTAACTAGATTACAGAAAAATGAAACATTTCTGTACTTTGTAGCAAGGCTCTGTACTTGTTTCCTAAATCCACCCTGGAACACTTCCAGTGACTAGCATTTCTTACTCCCATTAAGTGTTCTTGATTAACGAAATTGGCTTCTCGCTATTTTTTTTTTTTCCATGAAAGATTTACCCAACATCTAAAATTAAAATGTCATCACCATTATCTTTCCTTCTTATAGAACGCCATAAGTAGGCAATGTATGTCACAGGCATATGTCTTGATTTACTTGTTTGGAGAAAGGTCAAATTCAGGTGAAGTGGAACTGGTAGAGAAAGGATCAGAAGCCGCCAGGCAGGTATGTGTGCCTGTAATCCAAACACTATGGAGGCAGGAGGATCCTGAGTTGGAGTCAAGCCTGGACTACATAGTGAGACACTGGTCTCAAAAGGAAAAGGAAAACGGGCCACAGATGTGAAAGAGAGGTAGAACGCTTGCCTAGCATGTGCTCTAGGCCTTGGGTTCCATCCTCAGCAAGGGAGGCAGGGGAGGGGAGCTTCCTTTAATGGTCAGTCTTCCTCAGATCAGCTAGGAAATAGAAGTGCCTAGAGTTGCATTTGTCTAGTCTTGTGTCTTACGCAAAAGTGAAAATCTCCAGATGTCTAAAGAACCATAGATTGCTGGGTGCCAGTGACTCACACCTGTAATCCTAGCTACTCAAGAAGCAGAGATCAGGAGGATCAGGGTTTGAAGCCAGCTGGGGGAAATAGTTTGTGAGACCCTATCTCAAAAAAACCCTTTACAAAAAATGGCTGGTTGAGTGGCTCAAGATGTAGGCCCTGAGTTCAAACCCTAGTACAGCAAAAACAAAAAAACAAACAAAAACCTTGAACCAAATACAATAGACAATATTATAGAATCCTGAGCCCTGGAGATTAGTGGTTGTGAAGCAAAATCTCAGGTATTACACGATTTCATTGTTTAAATTTACCCAAACACTTTTTGGGGGACTTGTTTGATTTTCAGTGTAACACACATGCACCCATGCACACACACCCCTACCATAGGAAGCACACATAAGTCATTACCTTTATCAGAAAATCTGCAATAGTAAAGCAACTTCAGTTTTTTAACTTTCCCATTTATAGGCACTTAAGTGTTTAATAATCCACATACATGTGTTTGTATCACAAGAGACAGCAGTTATCCTATTTTTGTTTGCAGGGCTGACATACAACTTTCTTCCCTTACGTTTCCATTTAACTCTACCTACTCTTGGGAAATAACTAGTTTGCTTCTTTCCTTTATCCTCTTTTACCCTCAATAGACTATGGCTTCCATATTCAGTGCATGTCCTTACCTTTCTTTTCAGCATCAAGAATACACCACCTATTCACTGACTAAGAATGGCATTTCTCTAACAAGATGTATGTGATACACATTTTAAGTTAGCCAATGACACTGATTAATACACACAATTATGAGTACCTAAAAATGGAATTGTTAAGACACACTATGCTTATTTTCAACTTTACCCTAGATAATTCTAGATTGTTTTGCAATGTGATTGTACAATATTCATATCTAGAAGCTGTGTAAGAAAGTGTCCATTGTTCATCTGATATTGCCAGACTTAGACTTATATTTCTCCCCAACTTAGTAATTATAAAATGGTATTATAGTCTTAATTTGAATTTCCCTAATTACTAACAAGATTGAGCATGTTTTTGTGTTTATTAATCATTCTTAAAATGCCTGCATATGCTTTCAACACATTTCCTTTTTATTGTGTGTGTTTTCTTTCTTGATTTCGTATTGATTTTTATTGTTGATGTGTGTAGGAACTCTATGAACTATGTTATAACTGCTGTAAATCTGAGATTCCATGCTATCTTTTAGTTGGAAGGCTCTCAGTTCATATGTGCACAGTAATCTTAAAATTTGAATTTGGTCTGCTCTTATTTCTGACCATGTGGTCTAGTTCCACTTTGGGACTATTTTGAATAATGCTACTATGAATATTTGGGTACAGACTTTTGTGTGGACATGACATATGTTTTAATTTCTCTTAGGTATATACCCAGAATAATATTGTTTAATTTTTTGAAAGACTGCCAGCTGTTTTCAAAGGAGATGGTACCATTTTATATTCCCAGTAGCAGTAGTTATGAAAGTTCTGATTTCCCCACATCCTTACCAACACTTGTTACTGTCCTTTTTAATATAGCCATGGGTATGAAGTGGTATTTCACAGTGGCTTTGACATATAGCACTTACCTAATGACATGGAGCATTTTTTCATGTGCTTACTGGCTGTTTCTATATCTTCTTTGGGGAAATGTCTAGTCAAATCTTTGCCCATGTTTCAATTGACTTATTTCATTTTATTGAGATGGATCTCTGCATAGCTGAGGACATCTTTGAACTTATTTATTATGTCACCCAGGCTAGCCTCACACTTGAGACCCTCCTGTCTTAGCCTCCCAAGTGCTGGGATTGCAGGCATCTAATCCAAACCAAGAAGAAGGTATTATTTTTCCTGTCCTATCTTATTTTATCTCTTTCATGTAGACTCTGGGGAGGATTTCCATCATCTCTTGAAAATAAACCACAATAAGCATTCTTATCTCATTAATGATTTTTAAGGGAAGGTGCCCAATGTTTTATTGCTAAGAATGAAGTTTGCTGTTGGTTTTTGAGATGACCTTAAAAAGATTAAAAGTTTACATTGAAACAATTTAAATTGTTAAGATTTAAACATTTAATTGTTAATTAAACTAGTGTAGTTTGATTACATTTTGTCATAAATGGATTTTGATTTTGTGTGTATGTGTTTGGTGTGGGGGCTTGAGTACTGAATTATACCTCTGGTCCAATCTTGACTTTTAAAAAATGTTTTTAAAAATGCTTCATGAGAAAATGCTTCTTGCATCCCTTTTTAGAAGAGAAGAGGAAACACACAGAAGTACCTGGTGCAGAGCCCACTTCCTACTTCATGGATGTGAAATGCCCAGGTGCTATAAAATCATGATGGTCTTTAACCAGGCACAAATAGGTTTTCAGTGTTGACTTCTCCACTGTCCTCTGCCAGCCTGCAGGAGAAAAAGGAAGGCTTCCAGAAGGACAATGTTTAAGGAGGAAGTGACACTAAAAGCACCCAAGCAAGATTAATGAGAAGCCAGGCACTGGTGGCTCATGCCTGTAATCCTAGCTACCTCAGAGGCTGAGGTTGGGAGGATTGAGGGTCAAGGGCAGCCTGGGCAAATAGTTGAGCCCCCCCGCCCAGTCTCCAAAATAACCAGAGCAAAATGGACTGGAGACGTGACTCAAGTAGTAGAGCATCTGCTTTGCTAAGTGCAAAGTCCTGAGTTCAAGCCCCAGTCCCACCCAAAAAGAAGAGTGTGAAACAATCTCAGTAAGCACATAGTTTGGATATTTTTAAAAAAGGTTTTCCACTGGTTAGCAGTCTGCAAAAAACTGAAACTAGATCCATGTATATCACCCTATACCAAGATTAACTCAAAATGGATCAAGAATCTTAATATCAGACCACAAACTCTAACGTTGATACAGGAAAGAGAAGGAAATACTCTGGAGTTAGTAGGTATAGGTAAGAACTTTCTCAACGAAACCCCAGCAGCACAGCAACTAAGAGACAGCATAGATAAATGGGACCTCATAAAGCTAAAAAGCTTCTTTTCATCAAAAGAAATGGTCTCTAAACTGAAGAGAACACCCACAGAGTGAGAGAAAATATTTGCCAACTATACATCAGACAAAGGACTGATAACCAGAATATATAGGGAAGTTAAAAAACTAAATTCTCCCAAAACTAATGAACCAATAAAGAAATGGGCAAGTGAACTAAACAGAACTTTCTCAAAAGAAGAAATTCAAATGGCCAAAAAACACATGAAAAAATGCTCACCATCTCTAGCAATAAAGGAAATACAAATTAAAACCACGCTAAGATTCCATCTCACCCCTGTTAGAATAGCCATCATTAGCAACACCACCAACAATAGGTGTTGGTGAGGATGCGGGGAAAAAGGAACCCTCTTACACTGTTGGTGGGAATGTAAACTAGTACAACCACTCTGGAAAAAAATTTGGAGGCTAATTAAAAAGCTAAACATTGATCTACCATTTGATCCAGCAATACCACTCTTGGGGATATACCCAAAAGATTGTGACACAGGTTACTGCAGAGGCACCTGCAAACCCATGTTTATTGCAGCACTATTCACAATAGCCAAGTTATGGAAACAGCCAAGATGCCCCACCACTGACGAATGCATTAAGAAAATGTGGTATCTATACACAATGGAATTTTATGCAGCCATGAAGAAGAATGAAATGTTATCATTCTCTGGTAAATGGATGGAATTGGAGAACATCATTCTGAGTGAGGTTAGCCTGGCCCAAAAGACCAAAAATCATGTGTTCTCCCTCATATGCGGACATTAGATCAAGGGCAAACACAACAATGGGATTGGACTTTGAGCACATGATAAAGCGAGAGCACACAAGGGAGGGGTGAGGATAGGTAAGACACTAAAAAATTAGCTAGCATTTGTTGCCCTTAACGCAGAGAAACTAAAGCAGATACCTTAAA